AAAAATGGGCATTGCTTTGATATTTTTTCTTTTCAAAGTAGTTTTTGCCATGGGAAAATCATATGAACTAGAAAAAGTCTATGAAAGTTTTCCTCATAAAAGATGAGATAATAGCAGCTGGAAAAACACTGCTTAATTGAAGAGAGGCAGATCCTTTCAGCAGAGCCAGCCAGGGGTCCTTTGAATGGATGCAGAGTCAAGCCTGGGCTAATTGGGCATGGCACTTCCATGGCACATCCAGCTCACTGGTTCCTGAGATTGTCAGCATCAATGGTACACCACTCAATCAATGCTCAGGCCAGTGAGACATCGATGCTCTATCCCACATCTGTGGTGCTTGGCCTTACAACCCTTGGCTAAGGTACTGTACGGCCTTTAGGAAGACATTCAGACTTGATGCAAAGGTGTCAAATTGTGTAGGATTTACTACATCCCTTGACCAGTTGTCTCACTGGCTCCTTGGCCTCACTGTTACAAATGTGTTGCTAATTCCCTTATTTTTCATTATTAACTGACAGTATTCCCATGTCTCTTATTGTTTTTCTTTATCAAAAAAGCTTATTCTCGCTAAATCACAGCTTTTCCCCCAGTTTGCTTTTCATGGGATTTGCTCATAAATAATGCTTTCTAAGTCCAAAGCTTGTTCAGTTTTTGCTCAGGCTTTTCCAAAAATGTCAGAAAGGCTGCAAATTAACACAAAATTGGTGGGGAAATGAATAGCTGAGGACCAATTCTTGTTTTTTTAAGAAGCAATTAGATAGGAGCACCTTCTGCCTGTAGGTCAGATTTAATCTGATGCTCTCAAAGAGGAGAGATCCCTTATCAGGTCCTGACCCCTTGGAGGCCCTGGGAGAATCACATCTTCATAGTATTCACCCTGCTCATGCCTTCTTCTGTCAGAGGGCTGATCTGCTTGCTCTCTGAAGGAAGGGTAGCCATCTCTCATGGGGTTGAGCATAGCTGCAGAAGAGGTCTCTTTTCAAGATGAGTATTAGCCATATAAGATTAGATGTAAGGTTATATTGCCCTAGGGGAGGTTCAGGTTGGATACTAAGAAAAATTTCTTCTCCAAACGAGTGGTAATGCATTAGCACAGCTGCCCAGAGAGGTGGTGGAGTCACCATCCCTGGAGGTGTCCCAGGACCATGGGGATGTGGCACTTGTGAACATGGTCAGTGGGCATGGTGGGGTGGGTTGCATTTGGATTTGGGAATTTGAGAGGATTTCTCCAACCTTAATGATTCTGTGTTTCCATGACTTCCATGACAATGTGTAAGATGCATTTCTTTGAGCAATGTAGGTGAGTTGATGGCACTTTTAAGCATGGAGTCACTAAATCACTTCTTACTCACTTTATATTCAGCATAAGCCAGATGTCATGCTGTTTGGTGTGTGAACTGTGCCACCATGAGCTAAGATACGTGTGGTGAAAGACTTGCAGAGGTTTGGAGATGGTTCCTCAGTGCGACGCGAAACTGTTTTGTTAGGGTGTCTTGGAAAGATGGTTTTGTCATGGGCCAACATGCACCTTAAAACTCACATGGCAGAAACACCGATAATCATTTCCAAAGGAAATCCAAACCCAAAGGAGCCACACAGGAAGCAGAAGTCACCTCTACGCCGCGTTCTCTCAATGCAGCTGACTTATGCAGATGTGACCTTGCTGAAAGCAAAGAGCAGCACACGAGGCTGATAACGGGTATCTGCACAGACACCAACGAACGTGAGCTGAACAAAGGGCTGCATAACTCTTTCCACCCACTGTGTGCTAAACAGGCCAGCGGGGCAAGGCGAGGGATGCTGGGTGGAGGGTTACACTTTCAGCCTTGTTTAAGAAGGACAAAACATTCAAATGACTGTGCCTCCTCCTTGTCTGAGCTGGCACTGACAACAGGAAGGCAATTGTATGTCTAAGATTTGAATAAGGCAGGCACTCTCACTGGAAGCATTAAGCCATGCATGTCTTATCCTGCAAAGAGAGCAGCTCCCCACAGAAGTGGGCCAGGCAAGGAACTAGCAGGTGGATTAACTGTTCAGGAAAGAGCATGGAAAGCAGCTTTCTTGCAGAGCAGGTCTCCATACAAATACAAACAACGTGGATTAGTGCTTAAGCTACTGAAACAGGGCTGTCCAGGAGAAGATATTAGCACGTAGCGGTGCAGCCATCGATGGGCTGACACCTCTGCAATCAGCCAGAGGGTTTGGTGGGGATGGGCTGCTTGGAACCAACCTGCCCAAATACCTGTTGTGCTTTATTGGAAATGTGAGACAACCATTTCCAGCACAGGGCCTGTAATGAGCTTCCAGTTTGCCTCAAGATGTTTTCTCCCAGCTTTGTTATCTTTATGAGCAGCTATTTTAGCAGAAGTACTAAAGAAGGGGGAAAAACATCATGGATTTGGATCTACTCGTCCCTGCACACAGTTCTGCAAGGCTTGCAGAATGGGCAAGGAGAGACCCTTTGGGTGGATCATGTCCATACACTGGCTAATAATCTCTACATGTTTAAGGAGTGTTTTTGTGTTTTCTTTAGTACCTAAGACAAATAGCAAAAAAAAAAAAGATTCACTATTTTTATCTGAACAAAGCAGCAAGGCTTGCTCTTGGGTAGAGGGAGCAGCAGGATGAGCTCCATTTTGTTGATGAAGGGATGGCCATGCAAAGCATGTGTACTCCTTAACCTAGGAGCTGCTGCCTGGAGCTCAGGAGAATGAAGTGCTCCTGGCAGCTGTCGGGCTCAGCAGCAGAGCATGCCTCTCTCCTTCCCCTGGGCGAATTTCTCCCCAGTTCTCAGCAGATGCTAGAAATGATCCGGCCATCCCTATGCCTAACCCTGTAGGGAAAGGGATACGTTCTGTAATGAGCCATTTTCTTTCCCTAGAGCAACACGAGGAGGTGCAGGTTTTAACAGGAGGGGTCTGAAAACCCTTTAGGTGAGTGTCCTGGAGACATTCTTATGGCAGCAGGATTTCCAGGAATACTGCTTTCCTTACCCCAAAACTTCTGTCGCCTGACAGTGCTCAACATTAGAACAAACACGGGCTGAGCTGAAGTGAGAACCGACGGCTGGGGCTCAACAGCCACATGGCTCACATTAAGGAGCTGTTTGAGGAGACTATGTGGCTTAGTGCAGAAATCATCGGGTTTGTCTCCTTGCAGCTCACAGGTCCAGAACTGCCTGTGGCCTTAAGAGGTGAAAGCAGCCCAAGCACAGCTCTCCCAAGGGTTCCCATCCCAGAGTCTGTGATGTGAAATGGCTGCTGCATGGGTTGGGTTGCACTGGAACATACTGCCCGTAGAAGACATGAGTGCCCTTTCCCTGAAGGTGTTCAAAGCCAGGTTGGATGGGGCCCTGGGCAGTCTGATCTGGTGGCAGGCAACCAGCCCATGGCAGGGGTCCGAATTGGATGGGATTTGAGGCCACTTCCAACCCAAGCCATTCTATGACTCAATGATTCTGTGATTATATGACTCTACGAAAAGCCCATGGGAACAGCTCACAGGCTGCAACCATCCCAGCCCTGCTCTCAGTCTGTCCATGGCTCTCCCCCTCCACCCATAACCTCCAGAGAAAGCACTGCCTCTTCCTGAAACAGGGGAAAAGTGATGGAAATAGCGATGAACTGTGAGCCTGAGGATCTAGCACACAAATAGCGAAGGAAAGAGATAAATACTGCAACAGTCTTTAAATATCCAAGGAGGAAACCAGCCAGGAGCCAGTTTGGCTACAGGGGGATGAGCTGGAAGCCAATGACAGATGATCCCGATATTCCCAAGAGGTTTACTGACCATCGTTTCTACAAAAGACGCTGAATGGGACATCCTAGAGATTTTCTTGGGAGGACTGCTGAAAGCCTTTCATACTGCCTATTCAGGTAATCATGATTACAAGGGGCTGGGGAGGAAGCCAGGCCTGATGTATGACATGCCAAAGCCTTTGAGAGCAGTAAACAAGGGTAGGGGAATGGTTATTTTGCCAGCACACAGCACGCTCAGTACACAGGAAACACCAAGAACTACGAGGACGACTCCACACAGGAGTTCCCAGTCCTATATTTAAGAGCAAATAAAATGATGGGAGGACCCCACAAATTACAGACAGCTCCAAATAACCACGGAGCTCTTGTCTCGGCTGTGGGAAGACGCCGAGGACACTGATAGCAGAGCTGTGTTGCACAAGGGCTGGGTGCTGTGTCCCCCATGCTGAGCATCCCTGCCCCAGGCTGCAGGGGAAGGTGGAGGATAATTATGGAATAACCTGTCGATGGAGGAAGTGGCTTCCCAACCTCTCTCTATTCAGGGCTGGAGTTACGCTCGAAAGCAGGCAGATTTACAGCCTTCCCATGGTTGTGTTGTTTCCTCCTTCTGCCCAGATTAATTTAATAAATGAGAGGTAGGAAAAGAGGCTGAAAAACAAAGGCCCTGCAGTGATGTTGTATCACGTCGTTAAATCAGGGGGCTTTTTGCTTAAGAGAAGTTGTCTGACCCATAATTACAGCTAAACTCCCGTTTGGAAAATAGCTTTCAGCCTATCGAGACTTCTGTAATTTTAACAGGATGCAGCACTCAAATCCTCACCCTCTGTTTCAGGGGGCAGCATAAAATGATTATAACACACTAAATAGCAGCTGCTTTTCAGGCTGGAAGGGGCTTTTCATTGCTGTGTTACTCTGCTCTACACAAAGGCTCTTTCTGAAATTAAATACTCACTGTAAATGTCAAGCAGTATTGGGTTCTCATTCCTGAGGTCTGTACATAATTTGTTGTAGCAAAACATGGGCTGAAAACTAACCTGGCTTGTATGGCAGAGTATCGACTGCGAATTTCCAAACCCCAGCACTGACTGGTAGGGCTCAGAAGATTATCAAAGGCAAAGGTAATTGCACTGTTCCAAAACACAGGTTAACCAAGCTTGCAATATTTACAGTTCACCAAGACACCAAGGCCCATGGGTGTATAGAGAATGTGACAGCATGTTTAAACACATTGACTCATCGCCCTTTCGATCTTAACCAATCATGAATCTATACCCCAGTGGCGAGGTCACCAGGCAGCTTCTTTAGTGATAATAATAATTATGCTTCTTGCATTTACCCCGCGTTTTTCGTTTGCAGATCACAGGATGCTTCATCGAAGCAGGCTGCAATCATCACTGCCCATCATTACCAGCAGAGAAAATGAGGTGAAGGGGAGGTAAACACCTTGCTTGTCACAGAGTTGGCATCAGGGGAGGGGATGGTGGGAACCAGAAACCCTGTGGTCCCTATTGGAAGGACTATAGTTAGGGAACATGGGTGAGCAGGAGATTGGCCAAAACCTGATGGCGAGGAGACGGTTGGGAAGTTTCAATTGTAAACTTATGCTTTGATCTCTCTTTTTGTATGGAATCATAAAATTGTTAGAGTTGGAAGGGACCCTTAAAGGCCATCTGGTCCCACTCCCTGCAATGAACAGGGACACCCTCAGTGTTCAGAGCCCCATTCAGCCTGATGGTCGGTGTCTGCAGGGACGGGGCACCACCACCTCTATGGCCATCCTGTGCCAGTGCCTCACTCCCCTTCTTAAAAGCTTCTTTATATCCAATCTGAATCTCCCCTTTTCCAGTTTGAAACCACTTCCCTTCGTCCTGTCACAACAAATCTTCTTAAAGAGTCTGTCCTCTTCTTTCTTATAGTCTCCCCCCATAGACTCTGAAAGGCTGCGTTCTGTTCATCCAAACAGAACACAGAGCAGTTGCCACCTCCCTCACCATCATACTCCTGCTTTAACCATTTCTCCAAAGAGTTTTTCAGTTGCTCATAACCCCTCTCATCTGGACTGTGAACAGTTGTGGGGCAAGAAATGAGCTCTCTTCCTATCTACTAGCTTTGGAAGGTGCTGTTGCTCACATCCACTTCCAGGCAAGCAGGGCTACATTTTGATGTCTCAGCAAATTTTTCTGCCTGTCCTCACATGGGAAATTTCCATCTGCCTATATTTAAGCCTTGAGTGGCCCCTTTCTGTTGTTCCCTCTAACACGAGGGCTGCAGAGGAAAGAGAGGGAACACAAAAATGCGAGCTTGCAAAACCATCCTCCACTGTGTCCTCTGAAGAAAGGCATTAATGCTGCATTACCCAATTTTCTTTTCACATCCCTTCTAATCAGACTCCAGTTTCATTCCAAAATTTAGCTGTGGGAAAAAACAGCATGTGTTTTTTTTTTTTTTAATTAAGAAATATTGTCTTCTTGAATACAAAAAACAACAATAAGAAAAATTAGTTCTACTAATACTTAATCTGGAGTGGTTTACAATGCATAAAGTCCTTTGTGCTTTGCATTTTGCAATGCTCTGGGCTCCTGCCTGTAGTTGTGCAGAGTTTCTGCAAAAATAACCCAGCAAGATTTATTCCAGTTTTTTGATTCACTATTTGGTGTCAGAAAGGAGTTGAGATCTCAAAGATGGAAAGAAGTTATTTCTCGTAATTTTTCAAGTCTGCATTTTAATTTAATACTTTCTGAATCAACTCCATGAAAGCTTTTGTTGCTCTTATTGTCCTGACTTACACACTAACTATACATATAGACTGAAAAGTGAGTAGTTTGCAAATAAGGGCACTCGACAATTTTTTTGGGCTGGCCTCTATTCGTTCAATTCTGTTGTTGAGGAGAGGAAGGAGAACCGTGTGCTGTTCTTTGCTGCCCGAGACTCCCAAGGATGGAAAGAGAAATTAAATTGTGGTGCAGAGGTACAAAAGTTCCCAATAAAAACATGCCAGTGGGAAATTGTCAGGAGTCTTTTTTTTTTGTTGTTTAATGGAACCCATCAGAATACCAGTTCACTATGGAGGGGACGGGATGCCCACAGAAGCAGTGGATGCCTCATCCCTGGAGGTGCCCAAGACCAAGTTGGATGAGGCTCTGGGCAGCCTGCTCTGGTGGGGAACAACCAGCCCATGGCAGGGAGTCAATACTGGATGGCCTTTGCGGCCCCTTCCAACCCAACCATGCTATGATGAGTCTACGATTTTATCATAGTCATGCAAAGCAACCACAGGGCTTTAGGATCAGATATGGAGGCAAGACATGGAATTGGAGACAGATTTCCTTGGGGAGCAGAGGGGCTGAGGGCACTGTGGCTGGCTGCATTCAAGAAAACCTTCCTTCCACTTCCAGGCAGATAAACCCGTCTGCGCACATCGCACATCACAGCTGATTCAGGCACAGCTGGCGTGCTGGGAGCTGAAGGAAATTTATTTCTCTTGGCAGATGACCTACTCCCTTCAAGAGCTGCATTTTCCAAGCACTCCCTGCCTGGCTGCAACATTTGTAGCTCTGACAATTATTATTATTTTATTATTAGGCTAAGAGCTAATGTATGGGGCTAATATACAGCTAGTAGCCTGTAGACTCTTTAGCAAGTCTGTTTTGGTGACACTTGAAGGAGACTTTATAGATGGGCTGTTCCAACCCAGCTCAACCCTAATCTGGCATTTAGCTGTGGCTTGCAGAATATAATGGCTGAATGCATTTAGCCCATGCCCACAATAACTCTCTTTGACTGCAAAAGAAGTTCCAATAAACATGTCATTCAGATGTGAATGCATTCCAGCAAAAATTAGTGAGCTGATGCTATGAATAACCTGCAGAGCTATCGTGCATTTCCAATAGCCCTCCCATCGACAGGACCGAGATGATTAACACCAGATCGGCCATGATATTTATACTGCTCGGATCATGGTGTGTCATAAGCAAACGCAAAATTGCATACTGCATTGTAACAGCAGGGATGGGAAGAGCCACGTCATGAGCTGGGTTTATAGGGAAAAACAAATGGGATTGTAACACAATCCTGGAAACAAGGGAGTGCTTCCAAGCGGGGTGAGGAGTGGGACAGCAGCTCGTGAGAGCGGTGCTGGGAGTGACTTTGGTGAAATGAAGTGATTTATAGAAACAGAGGGCGGGTTGGTGCACTGTATTTTTCTTGCAGCGGTTTCGAGTGATACAGCATGGATTTGGACAGCACATCTCCAAACCTGGCCAGTCTGCTTTGTAAAATGAATTCTTTTTGTTTGCTTGCTCGGGCTAAAGAGACCCATTGCAAATCTGAGTTCATTTGCAGCTCTCACCTTCTCCACTATTTTATTAATCATGAGGCCCCTGCAACAGGAGAGCCTTCCCCCACCTGCGGCCCCTCTCTTCTGTCAGATCTCTTGTCACTACAGCTCTATACAGTAATGGGAAACATGTGTCCTTCTCCAGCGCTCACAGCCTCACCCCGAGGAGCCCTGCAATGAGGGCCAGGAGCAGCGGTTGGGTGTTTCTGCAGATGCCAAGGGTCTTGTGTGGAGGGGGCACATGGGGCAACAGGGCTCGGTTCCCCTGGAGAGAAGCCAAGGGTCATGCTGTGTGCAAGGAAGAGGCTCTGCAACCAGAGGGCGGTGGGCATGGAACGGCTCCCCAGGGCAGTGGGCATGGCCCCAAGCTGTCGGAGCTCAAGACAATGCCAAAGCCCAAAGGGTTTGAGTTTCGGGTGGTCCTGTGTGGAGCCAGGAATTGGACTCAGTGGTCATTATGGGTCCCTTCCAACTCAGGATTTTCTGTGATTCTATGATCAACTTCAAAATAAAAAGCGGGCACCTTAATGCTGTATGCGTAGTGCATAATACAAATCTTATATGTTATACTGCACATCTTGTATAAATTACACATCTTGTATGCTACAAATGGGCCACATTCCTCATTGTTTTTCCTTCTGGATGTTCTGAGCTGTACAAAGAAGATCCTATATAGAAATCAGCACAGTTCCTCAGAACACCGGGCCCAGAGCATGATTAATGCCAACCCCAGTCATAACCTGCTCAACACCTCAGCCACTTTCTTGGGGGTGAGGGATGCCTGGAATCGTAGAATCATAAAGGTAGGAAAAGACCTCCGAGATCTCCAAGCCCAAACCCAACCCACACGTCCATGATCACTGACCACGTCCCTCAGTGCCACATCCCCACAGTTCTGGAGCACCTGCAGGGACAGTGACTCCAACATCTCCCTGAGCTGGTGGCCAACTGTGTTTCAAGAAAAAAATCAGGACTGGGCTAGGGTGTATTGTTTCCCTGTGAGTTCAATTGCAAAGGTCACTGCTCCTCTTCCCCACATCGGGGTCTCCCTCTCTGCAGCTCTGTTGTTTGTTCAAGACTTCAGGAATTAAAATCTCATTGCAAGGGTTATGAGCAGACCACAGCAGCAATGCATTGTAGTGGATTATAAGCAGCAGGAGAGCTTTTCCCTGTCAGTTCTTCAGCTGCAGTGATGCATAAGTTCTGTATGCCTTGCACTGAATTTTCTTGCCTATAGAAGTTTTTTTTTTCCCTAGTAATTAGGGACCCCATTTTGTTTGTGGAATAGATTTATCATGATAAGTTGCACAAGATTATATTGTTACAGGGAATTGCCACCACTTCAGCAGTAATATAAAGAAAAGGAAAAAGAAAGTTGAAAAATACAAAAATAACTACAAGACAGCTTGGAGTACAGTGAGAGGAAAAACAGCCCTGGCAGGGAAGCAGAGGGATGTTCTCCTCAGGTGTAAAGATTCATTTATGGAGACAGCAATGCAGAAAACCACCATATGAAAGAGTCAAGCTATAGGAAAACCACTGTCTTTATGGCAAAGGCAGGGGCCGATGGCTGCCAGGGGGTTTAAGGTTTCTAGATTTGGAGTTCACTTGAAAGGAACATCATTTTTAGAAATGAACATCAAGTTTCAGTCCTGGTTTTTGCAAAGACAATGGTAGATGCTGCACTTCCCCATAGGTACCCATAGGTACAGAAGTACCTTCTGGCAGCAGGACCCTGGAACTGAGAGAGCTCCATACCACTCAGTGCTTTGCAAACATGAACATCATTGATTAAAGGCAGGGCAGGAATGTTATCTTTCCTGGCCTCTTGCATAACAGAAGCTAGATAATTAAATTTTATTATCTTTGCATCAAGCCTGTAATTCCCTGATTGCATTAGAGTATGACTTTGAGAAAAAGCCCTGACCTGATGGCCCCAAGAAGCGCTCACCTCCCCAGCAAGAGCTGCAGTCACCCATTAAGAGTCACAAATAGACCAGGTTTAATGTTTCCATCTCCCATTCAGCCTGATCTTATCTGGGCCCAGCTTCCAGCCATAGCAGTGCTTCCGCTGTCTGGGCAAAGAGATTTGCCACCAGCGACCCCTTCCCTGCTATGAGCCCAGCTGCTAGTGATGAAGCCACCTCACTCCCTCATTCTTGGGGCACTCAATGAATGAAGCTACTGAGATGCTCACCCCTACAAAGTGTTCCAACATCAGCTTTCAGGAGGGTTTTCCCGAACTCCCACTAATTCACCATTCTCAAAGCTCAGCCTCCACGTCAGGCCCCAGCCAGGCATGTTCCCAGTAGTGCTATATACGGTAGCAGCCACTCTTGCTCACTCACACCGCCAGCCTCTGCCTCTCTTCTATTATTCTATATCATTATGTTGATGTAATAAATGTGCAGAGGAGCTCCAGGCATCGGCTGTCTCCTTTGTTTAAAACACTCTACCACGTTCTCCCAACTGGATATTACCATATGATTATATACATGCCAGAGAAATAACTCCTGATGTCAGTGCTGCTTTTATACTGCAGCTCTGCCCTCCTGTCCTCCTGTTTGCATTTCCCATCCCACATTCACACGCTCCCATTACACGGCTAGCCTATATTTTACTCCCTCTGTTCTTGCTGCAGCTCCTCTTGGTAAGGGAAGTCTTGATTATATGTTATGGCCAAATAACTTAAAGCAAAGACAAAAAAAAAAAAAAAAAAAAGGAATGTGGAAGAACCAAATGAGGTCTAAATGAAGTCAGAGCACACTGGTCAGGAGGGAGGTTCCTGTGGCACCTCCCCTTGGTCTGCTCTGGCTCTGTGTGCCCATAAGGACTCAGCAGATGCTTAACCTCTAGGGGGAAGCCCCAGCCCTCCAAGCCAACCCAATGTGCTGGTGTGGGCCAGAATGTTATAAACGAGCTTCAGACTCTGGGAAGGTTCCTGCCTATTTCCAGCACTGGCAAAATTCACAAGCAGGAACGTCGTATATACATAAGTCAAGGAAAATACTGTTTCCTTCTTCAGCAGGAAACAGAAGTTATTCTCAGAACTTCAGCAAAAGAACAAGAAATTAAATAAAGCGCTGGCAGCCTACACTTGCTTTATTCCTGTGGTTTTATAATCTCCGAGTCAAAATAAACACATTTTTAATCTTGGGAGAATTATTAGGGTAATAATGGTGGGTAGTTATTTACAGGCTCCAATGGAATTGCTCAGCGAATCATGTGAAGTGAAACAGTGGATTCAGGGCAAGAAAATTCACATTTATGCAACAGTCTGGTTAGATTCTTTTGTTAGTGGGCACCCAGATGCCGCAATACAAGATTGAGCAAAAATCTTTGGTGATCCCAGCTGGAGTTTTCCTGAGAGAAAAGCTATGACCAATATTGCAACACCCGATTTCTTTCAGTTAAGAGTTTTAATGAATTTTAGTGGTGTTTTTCCTTCTTAAGTCTAGGGTGGGCTTTCATGGGTGGTGATGGCTCAGGGCTGAAGACTCACATCCTGGTCACAGTAGGGTACTAATTTACATTGCCATGTGATATCCAACGAGGCTGATTAAATGCGAACGAGAATTTTGTGTCTTCATACTTTGAAGTGCCTACCATCTCCCCTATTAACAAATAACTCAAATTAGAGTTTAACAGGAGGGAAGATTTTCTTAAAGGGAAACGGGAAAGCAGAACACAAGGTGAGATTAGTGGCTGGATTAAAGTGGTATCACTGCCAACTCCAGCCCTCCTTGCTTGGGCTGTTGTCCATACAAAATCTTGCAACAGCTGTAAGAAATGACTCTGAATTAAATTTTCACTTCTCAGCTCGAGGTTCAGGCAGAACTACTTGATTGCTTCCTTCCAAGATGGCAAAGGAGGCTAAAGGCATCACAGACCAACAGTTGGCACCTAATTATGCTTCTTCATCTTCTCTTTTGGCCAGAGCACTTGTGTCTGACCACAGCAGTGCCCTATAGGCAGCATGTTAGCTCCCTGCTTCTCCCAGCTTACACCTTTCCTGTGAAATTCAACGCTATTGCAAAGTCAGCTCTTCTTCAGCTAAACTCCTGCCTATCACTTTGCCTACATGCCTAAAACATGAGGTAGTTCAGGCATGTAGACATACATATGTTTATCACATTGTTCTTAGGGTTATGTCTGCAAGAGTAAGAGTTATAGTTACAAGAAGTAAATACAAGGAGAAGTTCTATGGCTATATACAAGAGGCAGTTACAAGAAATAGCTACTACAGCTAGTCACAAGGGAAATTACTAGAGCTAGTTACAAGGGTATGTAGTGAAGGTAGCTAGAGGGCTCTTGGCACTTTATGTGTGAAAAGCACAGGAAGAGGAGCTGGTATGTGGATGCCAAGATGGGAATGATGCAATAACTGCAAGTCCCAAAGCTTTTTGCAAAGCTCCTACCTTTCACAAAAGCAGAGACAAAAGCAGACAGGAAAAGGGTGAGAAAATCTCTAATTGCTTATTCCCTTCAAAAGCCATGTGGGCCACAGAGGAACACTTCACCCTGCATGAAGCAATTCCTAAGGCTGCTGCTCGAAGGGTAGAGGTTAAACTCTGAAGAAAGCTCATAGTTTTTATAAGCAAGGCTCACATTTCCCTTCTGGAAATATATATATGGGAACCCACTCAGGCATGAAGTTTAAGACACGCACGAGAAGACCACTGAAGCCTTGTTATCTTTGCTTTTGTTCTGCTTTCCCGGTGCTTTTTTAATGCCCTTACCGGTACAGCCTTGGAACACACTCCCTTTTCCAGGCCAACATTTCACAGGGCGCAGGGCTTTTTGTTCTCACCCCTCACCCTGTTTGTTGTACTGTCCCTGGGGTGTGCTTCTGCTCTTCGAGGGGGCCAGCAGCCGAAAGGAAGAGGCAGAGGATGTGAACTCCCATGTTTGAGCACAAAGAGAGAGAGGGACACATTCATTTCTATCCTCAGTGTTCCTCAGCAAGCAGAGAGAGCTCCTTGAGATAAAGAGCAAAATATTCACAAAGGGGTAGGGCAGGGGTAAGTTGGGTTTCTCCCTACTGAACCCCACAGTGACAGTGTGTGCAGACTTTGCAGTTGTTTCCTTCTCAGCACATCGGTGCGTTCTTCAGATCTCTGTGGGAGTTGCTTATGTGACTTCCAGGTATAAAGGTTGTTGGCTCCAGTAAAGCTGCTTCACATACCGTGGCAAGGAACACAAACACTTTAGAGGCAACGGCACATGGAAGAGAGCCACAACCATCAGCAGGCACGTAGGACTGGAAGGGACCACCTACGTCATAGGGCTCAGTCACAAACTCCTCACAAACACCTTCCCCAGGCTGATCAGGCAAAGCTACTTGGTTGTTTCCTTGTTATTCTCACAGCTGCTATCCCTTGCAAGCTAGATCTTAGAGATGATCTGTACTATAAACTCTATTGTTAGGGAAAGAGAGAGAAAATTACTTTCAGTGTTGATAGTTTCTTCATGTCCACATGTAGCTGTGGAGAGCAGGCAAGCCATAGGTTTGCCTATGAGAAAGAGCAGGAAAAAGTCTCTTTGTTTTTTCATTTGCCAGCAGACCTATCATATCATGAACCTATTGTTAGCGATGGCTTGAAAACAGGCATGTCCTTTAGCTAACGTGGTATAGGGATGAGTCTGCCAGTGTGGCAGCCTTGTCTCAGTGCTGGTCTTGGGATAACAGTGGTGGGACCTCAGGGTCCTTAAAACTCAACTTGAGTTTCTTGCAGGTCAGCATGAGCACACAGACAATTACTGCAGAGCAGCCACCATACAAACAGTAAGCACAGCAACTGCCTGGTGGGAACCTGCCTGAGATGCCGTACCCACAGCCAGGGTGAGCGGTGGTTATCTCCAGGTCACGCATTCAGGAAGCCACAAGGACGCCACAAATATTGTGTGAGTGGGAGCTGCTGGTGGGGCTATCAGAGCTTCAGGTCAGCAGGACGTTCAGAGAGTCGCTGGCACCAGGACAAAGCAGGAAGAAATGAAGATAGAGCCAAAAATCCTGGTGAGAAGGTTCAAAGTCTGGCCAGCGCCATGAGCCCTTGTCAGCAAGGGGAGACCTTAGTTAAGTCATGCCTGTCCTAAGCTTGCCCTTAAATCTTAAATCCTCACTGCTTCTCCTTGTCAGTACACACAGGCGAGCCCCATCTCCCCCTATATCTCTCCTATATCTTTAGCTATGGAGGTTAGAATTACATCTGCAGTGCTTTGTTTATGGGTGAAAGAGCCCAAGGATGGTGCATTGCAACTGCTGAGTCACAGCCTGAACTAGTGATTGAGCACCTGGGGAAAGGACCCAGTCAGCTCTGGGAGCACAGGTGAAGGCAATTCAGCTGTGTGACTGGGAGGGGTAGAGCCTGGCTGCACCTCTCTTAGACCTCATTTAAGGGCTGACTGCCACTGAGGAAGGATCTCTTCCTGGAGATTCCTCCTTGGTGATGCTTTCCCCTGCAAAACTAGAATCTTCTAATACAGGTGAGAAATCTTTCTCCCATCCATTTTAGCGCCTTTCTATTGTGCCCGTCCTTCTGTTGTGTCTTTCTTGTAATGCCTTTCTTGTAATGCCTTTCTCATTGTCTTGATGTGTCCAATTGCTACAGATGAACATGTAATTGTAATGGCTTACAGATGCTTTTTTGCCAGCTTCTTTGTACAGACGTTCCTGCCCTGTAGAATATGCCTTGCTGAGGCTGAACTTATCCCCAAACAGCCTTTGGGGTCTTTTGCTTTGTATTTAGGTATTTCTTCATCTAAGAACATATCAACATCCATGGAGGAACTCACCAGCAAATAATGACAGCAACAGTAATAACATCACCACCCGCATCTGGATTGTCTTGAGGGTGAAAACTAATGATGATGTGGCTGCACAGCCATAAAATCAACAGCAGCCTTCTGAGGAAAAAAAAAAATAAAAAAATTAAAAAAAAAAAATGCAGAAGGTGATGACTTTGCTGGAGCGCCAATCATCTTCAAGGGTTAAAGTAGTGAGCTGACAAAAGCTTTAATGTTTTTACAGCCCACAGACATCTAATGTACAGTACAGGACACTTTGTTCTATTGATGTCTAAGAAAGCTTAATGGAGAAACAGGCTGTTAAAATATAGGATACTTTATAGGTTAGCTCTTCTCTATACTTCATCATATGGCATTTGCCAAGTTAGCAGAGCATCAGACTTCAAGTCACATTTATGCTTCTTTTAGAGCAGTTTTTTTCCACTAAAAAGGCTCAGCTAAGAGACATACATACTAATGAAAAGGAGTCATTCATTCTTGTCACACAACTTGTCCTCAGAACAGTTGCAAATCCAGCATATCATTTTTTTGTAATTGAGGGGAAATAGAGCAGCTTTTATGCAGTTAGACAATTGTCCACAGTCTATCCTAAGAAAGAAAAAATTCCTTAAAAATGGAAAGCAGGTGGGTTTTCGTTACATCAAGTTGCTTCTTCTGCACAAGAACAAGAAGGCTACATCCTTGATTTCTTTTTAAGAAACAAAGAAATCATGCAATTGGTACATCTTCTAAAAATGTACTGTGAGCTGGACATACACTGGAAGTAGGCTGTGTATGTCTTCTAAGCGTACTGCTAAAAGCTTCATACTTTCCTACCCTACCAGTGCAGCCTTGGCATCCTACCTTTCCTTTCCATAGCTGCTAACATGGGAAGCTATAGAAATTGCTTTGGTGTTGCTGTTGGCTTGGGAGCTCCAAAGCTAAAAAACACGGGGGGGTGTCTTCAGAGATTCTTATGGGGAAAGGTGGACAGAAGAGAGGATTGTCCTTGGCTAAAAAGAGATGCCTGAGGATATGAGGGGTCTTCAACAACCCAGAAGCCTCCTTGGTGAGAATGTAGTTGGCAAAAATGAACAACTCTGGAATGTCCTTCTTATAGGCTGGTGGATCCCAGCCAAGCCCACAGTCACTCTATTATTTTAGACATTGGTTATCAACAAGGCACACAAAAATGCTGGGTTAGGAGTGCAACTTTCAGAAGAAACAATACTGATAAACCTGGAAATACCCTCAGACCTCCTGTGAACAGGAACAGTGAGTTACTTGCTGTGCTGGGCAGTAGAGGAATAAAAGCAGACAGGATCATTCCATTTTGCTATTTCCCTCCCACCTTTATTCTTTACAGCCTGTCACTGATTCCCTTTTCTCCTTTTCTTTTCTCCCCTATTAAAGCAAAACATCTGCTGCTGTTTTAAGGCACGACTGGCTTTTGCAGGCTGTTACAGACAAAGATAGCACTTGGCAGGGAGGGGAGCTGAGCAAGAGCCATAGCAGGTAAAGGATTTTAATTCCCCTATTACTGTAATCAGCTGCCATGGCTGAGGGAGGCAGTGGTAATGATTTCCAAACCCAAAAGCCTGGCTAAGGGCAAGCGTTCACATGGTCAGGGCGTACTGAAGGGCTGCACATGGGCTTGGCCCCATCTACAGGGCTCTGCAGAGCTCAGCTGGTGACTAGTCGCTGCATCACTCCTTTCTGATTAAATTCCCATTAAGTTTGAAATAATAATACATCCTTAGTGGAATAAGAAACTCTGGAAGAAGAAGAAAAAAAAATCTTTGCAGGTTTTTTTTGGCCAGTGGTGAACTAAGGGCCAGCCCTGAGAAAGCATGTGAGAACGGCTCTGTGATCATGCTTTTCTTCTGGTACAGTGTGGGATTAGTCTTTGCATTTGCTCTGACCACAAAATCCCAATTCAGTGGCAAACCAAGACCCTTTATATGATCATGACAATAAGAAGAATTCTGGACAATGTATGCAAACTACTATGCACAGACTAGAAGGTACAGAAGCACCCAAATCTTTCAGCAGACAATTTCTCAAAGGGGGTTGTATTGTGACTGTTGAGTCACAGCCTGAACCACAGATTGAGCACCTGGGGAAAGGACCTGGGAGCACAGGTGAAGGCAATGTGACTGGGAAAGGTGGTACCTGGCTGCACCTCTCTTATACCTAATTTAAGGGCTGACTGCCCCTGGGGAAGGGTCTTTGATTGGATATTCCTCCCATGGGTGGTTTCCTTTGAAAGCCCAGATCTTCAGAGACAGGCGAGTACTTTCTTTTTTCCTTTGTAACACCTTTCTATTGCACTGGTTTCCTTGTCATTACATCTCATTTAACAGCACTCCATTGCATTGATCTTTCTGATAGTTACAGGGGCTGATCAGAACAACTTGCACATTTGTGTCCAGGACCTTTGGTCTAATGTCTTTTTCTTCCTGCTATCTGTTTTATTATCTGTCTACTCACCACCCTGAGCAAGAGCTGAGCAGGGTATTTTGGCATCCCCAACCAGACCAGACTTGGAGGAACAGACAGAGGTAAGTCCATGCCACTGAATACCGAACCAAGGAGCACCGCACCCATCCTCATTACCACTAAGATCTGCCTGCACACTCAAGGGTCAGTAATTATCAAATTAGTAATATTAATTCTTGGCTTATGCTTCTCCTCCTTTAGGTCCTGCAGTCCACTGGTCAGTGGGGAGGGAATATCAGTTTGTGTCCTGCTCAGGTATTGTATCTGCACTGAAATAGATGAGAAAAGCCTAGAAACCTTGTTGATGCTACTGGCATTTCTTGCTAAATGTGAGATATGTAGGTGTTCAAGGCCAGGTTAGATGGGGGCCTTGGGCAACCTGATCTGGTGCCTGATTTAGTGCGAGTAGGGCAACCGTGCTCACATCGGTAGAGTTGGAAGTGGATGATCTTTACGGCCCCTTTCAATGCAATCATTCTATGATTTTACTTGGTGAGCTGCCAGGTGAAGTGCATCATGGTCCTGCAGGAGATGGAGGAACCTCTGAAACTACTGATCTCTTTGCATAATAACAGGATGTCCAGATGATAACAGCAGGCTGCCTGACGCTTGGGTGCAACATGTGAATATAGACAGTAGAAGTGTGAAAGCTTTGGCAGGTGTGCCCACTTCTGTTTGAAGTTGTTCAGCAATGGGATATGGCTTTCCTACTCAAAGCTAATTCACATCAAATTCAGGTTTCCAGGGAAAAGATCAGTAGAAAAGAAAATGAGGAGGCCATAAATCATCGTAAGGAGATCAGATAGAATTCCTCAGGACCATGAATTTGGGGCCAAATGTTGGAATGCAGCGTGTAATGAACTTGCTTATCACCCTGGTGCTGTATCCAAGAGTTATTAATGGGCTGTGTAGTGCTGTGATAGTAACATGAGCTTGAGGAGCAGCCTAATAAAACGAGGCTCCCTGCTTCAGGCAGCCTAAGGCTGCCTCCCAAAGAGACAATGTTGGATGTCTGCAGTTCCCAGTGTATTTCTTCCATCTCCGTGCCTAGAAGGATGCTAACAGCTCCCATGATCATTGGGCTCAGATTATTAAGGTATTAGAGAGAAAAAGAAAGCTTCTTGTGTGCCAGTTGGAGTTTTGCAGGGCTTCACTGCTAACACCTCCCTCTGCAACATGCAGGTAGCGGATAGGAGGAGCCAAACTAATTAATCTTTTGTAACCTAGTTGGAATTAAGTGACAGTGATAAAGTGCTTTGTAATGGACTTCCTGAATCCTCATACAAATGGAGGAAGTGACCACCCTTGATCAGACTTCTGTTCATTTTGTCTGCTTCCCTACTTGCATTATGCATTTTTCCCCTTTGTTATCTTCTCCAACCTTGGTTTATCAGGACTAAGGAACAAATACTCCACCAGAATACGAGAGTAGTGGTTTGGAGGG